ATATGCTTTTATATTTAAATAAGTCATAAAAATAAACTGGTACAAATAAATGAACAAAGTATTTTTTTAATTAAGTTCAAGTATTAACGTATATAATACCAAAGATTATATTCTATTTTTTAACTGTTAAAATATAATAAATATTTTTTAAATGGTGGATATCATAATTTAGAGGAATTAACTCGAATGTCTTAGCAAAAACGATAAGAAACGCTTACTCAAATAGAAGTGAATAAATTGATTATTAACATAATTTATATCATGTAAAATGTAAATTATATCATAAATTGGTTTAATTTAATAAAATAGTAAAGTACATAAGTATTTTATAAATGTTTTATGTTATTTATTATATGAGTCCAGTAATACCGCAAGATTTTAAGGCTTGTCCCTATTAGTGTGCTCTCCTGTTTTCACTGTCAGCCGGCTGACTCGGCTAACTAACTTGTGTAATGGTCGTGATGTGACAGTGATGCGTGTGATGCGCATATTGAAATTGTAAACCGCGATGTGAATCTCTTTTGACGTGATAGTGCTATGGATGGATAAAACTATAGAAGCAGTAAAATTAGGAACACCGATAAATATTGCTAGCAAATTATATAAGGTTCCACGATCATCTCTTCATAGCAAGATTGTAAAAAAATATATTCATGAAAAGACTGGATCAGGTATCGTATTAACTTCGGAAGAAGAAAATAATCTTGTGCAATGGATTCTCCATATGTGTTCTCTTGGCTGTCCAGCTAATCACTTGCTTGCAGATTTTGTTTATTATTAACCATCAATCTGATGTAAATTTACAGTCGTGGACAATGAGATTGTAACACATTTTTCAGTGAATTTACGAATGCGTAAACTCACAAACATGTTATATATAATTAAAATAACACTATTCTAAATGTTAATACTAACATCAAATTATATCATTTATTTAATATTATTTGAGAAAAATTATTAGAATGTTAAAAACCAAGCGTTCATAAAACTCATTAAAAATAAAGTCGCAACCTTATTGTCCATGAGTGCATGTAGTGAAATGAATTAAAGAACAGACTCATTAATCGTGGGCACACTAATAAAGAGCACACAAATACATGGACAGGCACAGTAATAGGGGGGCCCTTAATATAGCCATCGCGCCGTTGAGGGGCACACTAATAGGGACAAAAACATTGTTTTTATTTTTATTAAAATATATTAAAATATTAATATTTTTTACATAAAAAAAATTTCATAAGAAAAAAAAAAATTTTAAAAATCGATAGTAACTTTAAACAGACAAATTGAAAGCTACAGTATTTAATAATTAATTCAGTAATAAACAAATTTTCTTAAAGGCACACTAATAGGGACACTTATCCTATTTTACTTAAACATAGTTTTAAGATATGATTATCGTTTCAATATTAAAAGTCGAAAACTTATAAAAGACTAACTTGTGATTCTTGAGCAATTGCTATTAATCGAGAAATTTCACTGAGCGCGAATTTTAAGATGTTGAATATTGAATTGAATGTCGGAAAAGATAATTAATATCTACGTAATCGGTGGAGATTAATTAAAGGATTTCATTGAACACGGATTTGAGGACACCCTGTATATGTGCCAGGTGCGCACGAAGCCCCGATCGTGATGCCCGTTTGATGGGGCACGAATGCATTGCCGACGCGTTACTGACCTATCCTCATCGAGTGCCGCACAAGTAGGGTTCATTTGCGGTGGTCACGTGCGGTGTCGTGGATCTCGTTATGAGAGTAGCTTAAGCATGACGAGCGCCTACATAATTAGCACAAACTACTGATTGTTAGGTCGATTCTCCGACATAATAATAAAATAGGATTATCTTCGCCGTTTAATGTATTGATAAATTTTTATTATTATAAATACGTATACGTTAATATGTTATGTAATATATACATGTCAAAATATTCTTGATAATGATTTATATGTTACGAGCAAATAATATATGTACATATATATGTCATATATATACACACATATATATATATATATATATATATATATATATATATACATACATGTACATAATTAAAACTATTTATTCGTAAAAGTTATTCTTAATAATTATGCGAAATTAATTTTTCGAAACAATTATAACGCATGAATATAATACCACATAGTTTCTCGATGATCTCATAAAAGATTCAGTAATTAAGATATCACGACGTGTCGAAATATCGATGTAATATATATATTCAATGCGATAATCCGAGCACGTCAATTAGCAATGCGCGAATTTTCATTTCGTTCATCCGTTAATAGAAAATTCATCGTGGCGCGGTATTTTTTCAGCTTGACGTATGGGCTACTTGTTGCGCATTTATCTCCGATATCCTATTAGCTTAATGATTTTTCGATTAATTGTACAGTTTCGATCGATAGCAGATTTTTCTATTCCATAGAAAATATTTACCGCTTCGAAAATCTTAATTTACTATACTTCCGCTCGACTCGAGATGGTTCAGAAGTTCAGTCAATTAATTACGAACGATATGAACTTTAGATACAGAATCGGACACGGCGCATTCAATATCGCGCGCGCGCGCCAATATCGGGAAAATTCATTATCTTACTCGGTACGTATGATTCGCACAGGCTGCCGAGTACGAGAGAAGGTACCTGCGTTTTGATGCTTTATTGCGAGAACGATAAACGTCCATCGTGATTCGAGGCCGATATGTCGGGCGTGCTATTATGGAGTAACCGCATCGTTGCGCGTCGAGCTTGCGCGCCGATGGCGAGGGGGAGAGAAAACGGCTTAATGGAAGAAACAAAGCGCGGTGCGCCGTTATAGGAAGTTATTATACCTCTTCCCCTTCACTCTCTTCCCCTCTCTCCTTCTCCCCCTTCTCGCTCTCATTCTCTCTCTCTCTCTCTCTCTCTTTCTCCGTATATTTAGCATGGCCAACTGGCGCAACCCAGGCCGTCGGCGATACACTCGATTTGGCATCCAGCCACCATTCCCACGCGCGCGATGACGTCGCAAGGCTGCGTTATCTAACGCAATGCCGTCCGTACCGCGTGCTACCTTTTGTTCCTGTTTCATCGCGCTTTACGCTCAACATTGTTCGCGAAACGACCCGAGGCATCGTACGTCAACCGAGAGCGGTAGCGCGGTACTTCAGCAGTTCAAGTATAGTTCTAGTAACTACGATTCGCATTCGGTAAATGCGACCTGTACTCGTGGTAGTTTTCATGCGATAATTAGATTGACCGACGGATTTACAAAGCGCATTGTGTAAAACAGTAACGAAACGATGATTCGAACAAAACAACAATTATTGATAGAGTAACTAATGGAAGGTCAAAGTTGAGAGCACGAGATTGGTAAAATATCGCTTTCTTACTGGGAACAGCAGTACCTTTTTTCGCGCTTAACGTCGATTGCACTGTATCTAATTCTTCAGCGTAAGGAAGAAAAACAAGGAAGAGTGTATCTTATCTCGTAAAACAGAAGAAAAATAAAGGAAAATAAAAATAAGGCGAGATTTATGAGATAGACTCGTGGTTTCGGTAACAGTAATGCGGGAAACGTGCACGCACGAAACGTTTCCGCGAGAGAACAGCAACGGAAGATCGCGTGCTTCCGCGGGAAAGCGGCTGCTGATCGCGTAGTATGTATCGCAGCTTGGCAACAACGCGCTTCGCGATCCTCTCGTCCCTGTGCGCCCAGGCAACGTCGCAACGCCTGTCCGTCGCGAACGGTGCACAGTGCTGCACGCGTGGATCGTTGCGTGCGCGTGTACGCGAACGCGAACGTGTCGTCGCGCCGTTACAGGACTCCGGCGCGGCGCGGAGCTGAGGGAGGAGAGAGAAAGAGAAAGAGCGAGAGCGGAGTAGAGCCGGGAAGGGGATCGGCGCGGTACGGCACGGTGGCGGGAACGGGTGGGACAGGAGGGATACACGGGGGGGAAGGTCGGTTGGGAGGAGAAAAGGGGAAAACGTCTGCGAACGCACGTAGCGGAATGAGCGAGACTGGATCCTTATGCACGACGACCACCGCTCGCAGGGATGAAAGGACGACTTCTCCTCCCTTCCCTCTCCCCGTCTAGTTCGCCAGTTGCGAATCAGGTGCTCTCGCGCCGCCGTCAAGGCTACCCGGCTGCCGAGTAACTCCTCGCGGCGTTTTCGAGCCGGGAAACTTGCCGAGCGCACGTGCTCTCGATCCAATTAGCCGCGCCCCGCGTCGCCATCGGTTTTTTTTCCGCCGGTGCGCCGCGCGGTGCGGCGTTTTTAGCAACGATGGCGATTTACAGGCCGCCCGATACATTAGCGATTGATGAGTTATATCGATCGAACGTGTACCTTTCGGCCGTTTGTAAGTTAAAGTTGTTCTCTGTCGATTTCATTACGTTAAGTAGAAAAGTGATAACGATTCTTTTTCATTACATACAGATATCACATTACGTTGTTTAATTAATATCACATGCTATACGCTGTTAAATTTATATTTTTTAATTATATCCAATTCGAGTTATTTTTAATCATAAGCCGCTTCTACTTAATATATCGTTAATTTAATTAATTGTAAAACAATTTCTTGAGCGAAACAATTTAAGAAATGAATTAAATTGGATTAAAATTTAGTTTATATTTACTAAATGAATATATTAAAATGAACGTTGTTTATTTTAAAACTAAGCAATTCAACCACAGAAATGGATTGATTTAACTCAGGGAATTGATTTGACAGCTATTCCTTGAATATTCAACAGTATAATAGGTATTTATCGAAATTCAAAAATAATGTTTAGTATGAAAATTTAGGAAACATTTTATTATCATTGTTATTAAGTCCAAGTTTCAATTGAATGTTTTTTTTTAATGACATAATTATATCTACAAGTAAAATAATGAGTAAAAATGTCTAATATTTTTCTTATTGATTTCATCCTTCTTAACAAATGTACCTATCAATTTGTATATGACCCCAATGAGTTATGCTTGTTCGTTAAATAAAAATCATTTTATTGCAGATTTCAAAATTAGTGACTGTCATGTAAGAAGATGGTGGGAGATACTAACTGATTAGATCTTCATTGGAATGTAATACCGATTTATATACAAAAAAGATTATATAAATATTTAAATAAGATACTGTAGAGGACCGAGAAATCGTATAATATACAATGTATAGTATTAGAAAGTTATTTATCATTGCATGCGTCAAGAAATACTCTGCTGAAAAATTACTAACTAGATAGATAGTAGATAGATAGATGTATTCAATCATATTTGTTGATAGTATCTATGCGGAGAAAAATAGTAATTATTTTTGAAGTTGTTTTTCACAAAAAGTTTTTGCTTTTTTATTTTCAGATGTCTATGTTACCGTCAAAACCCATAATCCATTAAAACCCGAATTCACGAGTTAAAAACTAGAATAATTGATTAGACATAAAATCGAAAACCTATGTAGAGAATACAATTATAAACCTCATTTCATCCCGTAAACAGAGGGAGAGGGAGAAGAAGTTGGACCTCGCTACGCGTGGAAAATCAAAAACCTATGTGAAACAGTTCAATTATAGACTCATTTTAACTAAATTTAAAACTAAGTTTAATTAGTGAAATCGGGTTTTAACG